CCCATCTCAGCGAACAAACAAACATGACGTCCCTCCTATCTCTCTCGATCGGGAACCCTGGTCAGTCGACCCTATCATCGTAGCCGCCGCCTCCCATGCCACAGTCACCTCCCGTCTGTCATCCCCAGTCCTCTTCGCGCAGTGGGATCGAGCCCTCGGTATGCTGCTGCACTGCCGCCGTGCGTCGCCATCTTCACATCGCCGCACCTTTTCCTTCCAAATTCTTTTCCTCGGGTGACCCATGCGTCCCCTAGGTGAGATGCCGATGCCGATGCCGCTGCGACTTCCCTTCCCTCTGGATCGCAGTCCCTTTGAGTGCCTTCATCCATCCCCTCGAATCTCGCAAGGCGGTCGGTCCGGCGCCTGCGGATGTCCTCGTTCTGTGGCGCAAATTTGGGTTGATGTGTGTGTTCCTATGACGGCAGCTTGTTTGGGCTACGATTTTCAGGGGCAATCCATCGCGTCCCGATGATGCGGCGAGGCGTATGTGGGTGTTAGTCCCAGCCTCCCTGGTTTTGATCGGTTTTGGTGAGAGAAATTTGTCTAAGGAGATTTGGATATGATTTGGGTATAAGGACTGTTCTGGGACATCGGTTGCTGAATCTCAACTCTCAAGTAGTAGTTCCTGTTGTCAGATTTGCAGCTGGAGAGGACACATGGCTCTGACCTTGTGCAAAACATCTTGATGGCTATGGAAAAGTAGAAAGGAAAACCTCTTTTCTGCAGGATTATAAATATTTTTTTATCCTGAATCTGTGGTTTTCATGTTTTAAGCAGCAATTTATGTTTGATTACTCGCTAGTAGATTGTGGGATTTCATGTGAGACTCAATAGTATAAAATGTGCTGGCACAGATACAATGTGCAACAATTTATGTTTGTACTAACCAATGATGTTGTGGATTTTGTTTGGCAGGTAAGTATGTGTTAGGAAGTGTATGGGGAGAAAGGATGCAAGAGTTGGGTAGTGGAGTCCGACAATCTCGGTTGAAGTCAAGGAAAGTAGCAGTGACTACCACGACTAGACATCACGTCCAGCGGCGACCTGTAAGAATTAGCATCCTTGTGTGTGCTACCGTCCAATACAGCGTCACCCTTTTACACTATGTCCACGGTGGTGGTCGTTCCTTCACTACAGGTACAACTCGCCTCTCCCTTATGCAACATGACTAGGCTGGAGTTAGCTGTCATGGGTTCAGATCAACAAGACACGGCTTAGCTCTAACATGATACAATGAGTCGACACAGACTGTAGATACACTCCAAAAATATCAAAATGTTGAATCATATTATATTCATAGTACATGTAATTCTATACATTGTATTGTACGTCTGTGAAGTTTATTGAAAAACGGAGAAGAAAGAAAATAAAGTGCTTTTTGTTTAGCTTAACAGAGAAAGACTGAAAGACATTTCATTTCATTCACAAGAATGGATGTCTAAGTGTCTTGTGCATCGGATTCCAAGGAGAAATCACATCCAGAAAATGTTATAAGAATCAATTGTCTAACCAGGTTAACTAACCAGCATTTCTCTTTTTGTTCTATGTATTCATTACTCATTTTTAGTCACTCTCTTCATCTCTTGAAGTTATTATAGAAACAAATATCTTTTTGCTATGTTGTGCCAAAACCATATTTGAAGTTGGCATGCACACCAAGGATGATTATATGCCTCTTTAAGTCATCCACAGTCACATTCTTGATTCTTGTCTTGGCTCTAACTTGGGTAAAGACTGTAATATCATCTTTGAAAATGATGTTAGTCAGAACGAGAATAACTCTGTACACATGGTGGCAGCTGTGCACGGCCCCAATTTTTATCTCTAATTATTTTGGTAAATTAGTTTGGACCATGGGATATAACTCTCAAACGAAAATGAAGTTTGCTCACCTTGCTGGGACAATGGGAGGTTTGCTCACCTTGCAAAAGTAAAGGCATTGAAGAAATTTGTAAGGTGGGAAGACTCAAAATTCCATAGGTAGTTATGCCATGCTCCCCCTCTTGTGATATCTAAACCGGTTGCTCATGTGGTTTTGAAGATTATATATTCATCTTCAAGCATGGAGGAAGGCTTGGCATGAACGATGCCACTTATAAGGTGCAAGGCAGGAGGGCTTAACTACTTAACTATGGAGGTTAATTTATTTACTATGCGTGTTGTTTCAGATGATTTTGCTAGATGGTATATAATTTTACTATCTTAATGTATCGAATGCATCCATACTTCCATGAGTTCCATCAAAAGAACCATATTGGGTAGACACGTTCCCAAGTGACAAGCACAACTCATGGAAGGAACAAAACATCCAGGCTAGGAAGGCATGTTTCGAAGGTACAAGCTCAAGTGATGGAAGTATTGTTGTTCGGGATTGCAAAATACATGTATCTGGATGTGATGTTGATGAAAGGTGTTAAAAGTGCTTGCTCTATATGTCTAATCTTATGTTGGCGAGATGTTGGCTAGATTACCATTTCCTTGTGTTGCCTTCTATGTCAAAAAATGCAAATATTGTGGAAATGTAAGAACATGAGCTTCTGGTGTAATGTTCTTTCCTTCTTTGTTGCACAAGCTTGAGGTCATCATTTCTCATATAACTCTACTTTGTTTTCTTGTTCATGCTTTGTGCTATAGGTCACTTATGTGAATATTTATTTTGTATGCCTCTTTGTGCATTATTATGGTCCAGTGCTGAATTGATACATACATGAGGTGAAAAATGGCGGCAACGATAAAGTTAACATTACCTTTGAATTTAGGGATCAAGCAATATGTACATTTACAAAATTTTCAATCATTATAAAACTCTCAGTCATTATATTGTCAAAATGGACGGGCGCGGCAATGCGCGCCATCAACGATCTAGTATATGGTACAACACAACCTCTGCGACCGGGTGAGACTGAGCTTTCAGACCAAGGATTTTCTAGGAATTACTAGAAATGATAAAATGAGCAAAAAGCTCAATAATTCCAACCTATCTCGTCCAGTTCGTAGGGAGAACTCGTTCGGATCTAGAGGATTTGATTTAGTCCACCAGGGTCCCGCCTAAGCAGCAGTAGCATCACGTACGCTCGGGTTGTCCTTATTTGTGAGACTGCCCAACCGCAAACTGGTCCACCTCTTCGCTGACTGTTCCTATTGGCGCTCGATTTGGTCTGTGGCTGTTGCGCGTTTCAACCTTCCTGCCGCTTCCCTTGAAACCATCAACACCAAACCGATGACCGCCGGTTCTTTCTAAAACACCATAAGTTTTGGCTCCTCCTTCGGTTTTCGATTTGGTGGAAGATGAACGGAAGAATACTTAACAGTTGTGCCAAATTATCGGGTATGGCCTTTTAGCTTGCTATCAATGAGATTCACGCTTGGAAGATGGCTGGCCTAAATCGTGCAACGTTTCAATGATCATACATTGATACATCGCCTATTACGGACCAACCTTGCCTCGAGATGAGTTGCAAGAGCATCTACAGCCGGGCGTCCCAAAACCGTCTCAAACGCTCCGAGCGAATGGCCCGGTCACTGACTGGTCATGAAATTTTGACCCAGGCGGGCAACTCAAACGGGTCTTAAATGCCCGGGCTGTCTTGCGCCCTCATATCTAACCCAAATAAAGAGCGGATATGGGGTGGCCCGGGCGCGTCCGCCATGTCATCCCGGCCCATCGCGACCCCACTCCGCCCCCATAAATATCCCCAATCCGGAAACCCTACCTCACTCCGCTCTCGCTCCATCTCTTCTCCTCCTCCTCCAATTTCTCTGATTAGATCCAGTCCGACGACTCCGACAGCCGCTCCGACTTCGACCTCGACATCAACGAGGAGCTGGCCATCCGCATTGCCCTCGAGAGGTCCAAGGTGGACACGAGGGGGGGGGCAGTTCCAGATCTGCCGCTTCGCCTCTCCCCAGCCGGCGCAGCGAGGACGTCGACGCTGGTACCTACTGCCCGCGCGCAGCTCCACGAGGGATTCACAGTCCATGCCTCCTCGCACGACGTCCCCTGCTCCATGCGGGCAGCGGTGGGTGTTTGTGCCTGCACCACCGTCCCGGATGCGCAAGCCAGAATCGGAGACACGCGCCGCCCGCCGCGAAAGGTAGCGGCCAAGGAGACGAAGGCGGCGGAGCAGTCCGTGCACCGCCGCCGCGGATTGCCGGCCAAGCCAGCGAGGACGGTCGGCTCCTCGCTTGGGTCTACCATCGGTCGCTTACTACGGCGGAGACGGACGCTCGACGGCTCCGTCGGAAGAACGCCAAGGCGCTCCGGCTTGCCATTGAGCGGTAAGAGCATGAGGCAGCGGAGGATGCGGCTCGGCTAGCGAAGATCAAGTGGCAGCAAAACAGGGTCGTCCGACGGCTCAAAGGGTTGATTGTCCTCTCCGACTCCGACTCCTCCGACGGGGACGACCACGACGCCTCGTCCGACAACTTTGACGATCCTTCACCAGCCGTCGATGCCTACAACAGCGCCGTCGACCGGAAGGGGAAAGGGCCGGCGAGGAAGCGGTGACGATCCGTCTTCTTCACCTTAATTTCAAGTTTTTAGATGTAGCCTGAACTTGTCTGTTGTATTATGTGTACTATGTACCATCAATGGCGTTGTATATTCTCACCTAGACTTATGAGCATTTTTTAAGGTAAATTCACCTACACTTGTAATTTTGGAGAATCCAATTTAAATCATCCTTGTGATTTTGAATAATCCAACTTGGCATCTTTAATGGTATTGTTAGAGGACGTGGGCATAGCCCAGTGGTTGGGGGCGCATGATTGTAAACCTAACGACCAGAGTTCGATCCACGTCGGGGACGAATTTCTGGAATTCTCATGAGGGATGCTTCTTCTATATCAATAAAACCGTGGGTGCTAGTGCCCATGGAGTTTCATTTTTTTTAATGGTATTGTTAGTAAGAAGAAAAATCATATTTTTGGGGCCCTGTCCTTGTATGAGATATTTCTTGCAAGTAGATAAAGCCAGTCGGTCAACGTTTGAATAGTAATGCATGCACCTGCACGGATCGATATATGTAGCAGAGTACGCATTGGGTGGGTATCGACGGTGTATACGCGCGCACGCAGAAGGTAAGATGAAGATTCCGGCGGCGGCGCTGTTGCCCTTTCTGTTGCAGCTCTCCCTCGCGGCCGCGGCGGCGGCTCAGGTCACCGGAGCTGCGCCGGGCTGCCCGACCATCTGCGCCGGCGTGAACGTGCCGTACCCATTCGGCATCAGGGAAGGGTGCTACTTGGAGGGCTTCAACCTCACCTGCGACCGGAGGAGCGGCGGAGAGCGGCTGCTCATCGGCGGCGCCGGTGGCACGCTCGAGGTCATGGAGATCTCGCTGGCGGACTCCACGGTGCGCGTCAGGAACACCGCCGGCGCCGTCCGACTCGTGGGCAGCAGGGTAAGCGGCCCTACCCGAGCCGTCGGCACGTGGGACGGCCTTGGCGCCGGCGCCGCCGGCGGCCCGTTCGTGGTGTCGGCGTCGCGCAACCGGTTCAGGCTCACGGGGTGCAACGTGCTGGCCAAGCTGCTTGGGAAAATCGACAACGTCATCGTCGGCTGCTCCGCCTTCTGCGCCGTCACCGACGGGAGGCAGACCACGATCTCCCCCGAGGAGGTCGCTGAGTGCGCCGGCGTCGGCTGCTGCGAGACGCCCATCACCATCGGCCGTCCCTCCTACCGCGTCAATTTCACGGGGATGGACCCGGCCCAGGAGATGGACACGTTGCTGCGTGAAGTTTCGGTGCGCGTCGCCGAGACGGACTGGTTCAACACGCCGGCCGCGCGCGCGAACTCCTCCCGCGGGACGGCGATGCCCCTGGTGCTGGAGTGGGTGCTGGACTCCCAGCGGCTCCGGCAACCTCAGGATCCACCGGGGTGGACGGCGACGGGCTGCCCCAATGACGCGGGGAAAAGCGCGTGCCGGAGCAGCCACAGCTCATGCACCAACATCACCAACAACTACCGCACTGGCTACGTGTGCCGGTGCAACGACGGGTACGAGGGCAATCCATACCTCCCCGGCGACGGCGGATGCCAAGACGTCAACGAGTGCGCGCGGCCCGATATGTTCGTGTGCTCCGGCGTGTGCACCAACACGCCCGGAGGGTACCACTGCGTGTGTCCGCCCCGCTCCCGAGGCGACCCTCGGATCAAAGATGGCTGCCTCAAATCATCCCTAAGTCTAGGTGAGAATATACAACGCCATTGATGGTACATAGTATGTGAGATTGCACACCAGGCACAGAGAATGTTCCTCTGCTTCACATGAGAGAATTTTCCGAACCATGACACATTTTCTCTCGACATTTTTCAGGTTTAAGCATCGGCATAGGAATCGGCAGTGGTGCTGCCCTCCTCTTCCTGGTACTTGGTGCCATTTTTGTGACCCGGAAGCTGAAGCGTCAGAGGGCAAAACTATCCAAGCAGAAATTCTTTAAGCAAAACAGGGGACATCTACTAGAGCAATTGGTGTCGCAAAAGGCAGACATCGCTGAGAGGATGATCATCCCCTTGGTGGAGCTGGAGAAGGCCACCAACAACTTTGACAAAGCTCGCGAGATCGGCGGAGGAGGGCATGGGATGGTGTACAAAGGGATCATGTCAGACCTTCACGTCGTGGCGATCAAGAAGTCCAAGGCCGCGATCCAGAAGGAGATTGACGAGTTCATCAACGAGGTGGCCATCCTCTCGCAGATAAATCATCGGAACGTGGTGAAGCTCTTCGGCTGCTGCCTCGAGACAGAGGTGCCGTTGCTAGTGTACGAATTCATTTCCAACGGGACTCTTTACTATCATCTTCATGTCGAAGAGCATGAAGCATCATTGCCATGGGTGGATCGGCTAAGAATTGCAACTGAGACCGCGAGAGCTCTCGCGTATCTTCACTCTGCCGTGTCATTCCCAATAGTCCACAGGGATATCAAGTCTCAGAACATTCTGTTAGATGGCACTCTCATAGCAAAGGTGTCAGATTTTGGAGCTTCAAGGTGCATTCCGCTAGATCAAACAGGGGACGAAACCGCCATCCAAGGGACATTTGGGTACCTAGACCCTATGTATTGCTACTCAGGACAGCTCACCAAGGAGAGCGATGTTTATAGCTTCGGCGTTCTCCTAATGGAGCTGCTCACTAGGAAAAAACCATGCTCATATCGATCATCCGCGGAGAAAAGCCTCGTCGCGTGTTTCACCAGTTTGCTCGCAGAAGATGACCTCTCAAGTGTGTTAGATCCTCAGGTCATGATGGAAGGTGGCAAGAAGGTTGAAGAAGTAATTATGTTGGCAGCGGCATGCGTCAGGATGGAAGGAGGTCAACGGCCAACCATGAGGCAAGTGGAGATGGCACTCGAGAGTCTTCAAGTACCCCATGAAAATGTTGTGATGGGTGTTATGGATGCACCAAGTTATGCAGTGACTGAAGATGGAAGCACGGAGGAGGTTAGCAGACAATATAGTCGGGAAGAAGATTATTTGTTTTCATCAAGATGCCCGCGGTAGCGAATGTGCTCGTGTGTGATATACACATGGATCAAATGGCATGTATGCTTTATGTTTCCTTTCTTTCTCTTTTAAGCAAATAGTGAGGCTTGTATTCAAATCATATATACCAAAGCGAAGAGTACATGCCTTCACATAAATCGGAGAATCGATGGATATGCATATCTACACCATAGGAACCATGGACAAGTAGATATATATAGGACCCGAGGTCCGTTAATTACCGCAATGGGATCCCTCCATGAGAAACTCCTTTTGAGTCAATGGTCATTTAGTAACATATTATGACCAAACAAATTGTCATGATCAATATGAGCATGGTTTTTTCCTCCATTTCGGTCTATTAGTCCCCTTGTATTTTGGGTCAAACTTTATCATTGGGTCAAACTTCATCATTGGTCCAGATAACGTCTTGAAGACGGTCAAAGGCCTTTGACCGGATGGAAACGACACGAAAGGTTATTTCCGTAAGCGCACCAGACAGAAGATGGGCAAAGTTGAGCACTGTTTTTGTTTATGGGTAAAGATGAGGTCGGGCGAAAGTTAGGGGGGAAAATGTAAATGTCCCTAAATTATACTCCCTCCGTTCCTAAATATAAGTCTTTGTAGATATTTCACTATGGACCATATACGGATGTATATAGATGCATTTTGTGTGTAGATTCATTCATTTTGCTCCGTATCTGGTCCATAGTGAAATCTCTCGAAAGACTTATATTTAGGAACGGAGGGAGTATGTCATAAAAGCTATATTTGTTGAATTCATATTTGAAAGAAGTTTCTAGTGGCACTATTTTTATTACTTATATAAATCATAGTTTGCAAACTTTGACCCCAAAATATGGGGGAGACTAATAAACCCTGATGGAGGGAGTACAGCGACAACCGAGGGGCATCTCGAACTTGTTTAGTAATTAGGAGGAATGTGCTTCATGAATAGGAACCATAAGGTTGGGATTCTCTCATCACCTTGAAGCTTGTGTTGGCTATGCCACATCATAAAAAAATTGTAGCAAATTCTACCAACACCTATCTTGCAATTATTGGAGATGACCCTCAAGGGTTGTTGATCATGCCAGTCAACACCAACATGAATGTAGCCAACTAACTGGTTACAAGTTGCGACTAGTTGCCTACAAAAAAGAAATAAGTTGTGACTAGACTATGCCAACCAATTGTAGTGTCCTCTTCCCTTGGTTGGGATGTCAATAATAAAGGCCCGAAACGGTAGAGAACATAGGACCTGCATAGACAACTCGAGGCATGCACTTTATCATTGGATAGATAGATATGAGTTCCCTAATTAATATTCAACGCACACTATTTGTCTAATCTATCTGCTGGTGCGAGAAGAAAACTAGTCGACTGCCAAGCCATTAGATTTCGTGAGCGAGAGAAATCCGATCCGCGAGCCACCGCCAGCTATACCAGAACGTCTACAACATTATTCATGTTGCCACCGTAACATAGGCGATGTTGCAATCGTCGACGACCTATGCAAAACAGGTGATGATGCAACCCTGACACCACCCACCGTACACTAGAGATCACTCTGCGGCACTGGTGATGCTGAAACGTGCATCGGCGAGCTTCCGTGCAGCATCGATGATGTTGCAGAAATACTGACAAGCATATTGCAGTGCCGATGATGTTGCAAACAAGAACATGCAAGATTCTTTGCAGCAATAGTGATGTTGCGGGAAAACCAACGATCTTGCAGAAGTTCATCTCAACAGCAGCAACATCGTTCTGACTACAGCCGTTTGCAACACAATCAATGTTGCCAAAGCATGTCAGCGGCAACACCATCATTAGCACTCGTGCATGCAACAACAGGGGCTGGATACATCTCCCACGACGCCCAACACCCAGCGGCGGCGGCGTCTGCCTGAAGCACTAGTGGCCAACATGGAACAACAATGCCTTGGAGCAGCAGTCATGGGTTTTTCCCAGCACCCTGCAACCTGACCTGCGACACCGACACCTCGTAGTAGTTGTTGTAGATCTGGCTGACGACACGCTAGGGGAGCATATTTATTCAGGAATTTCCTCCTCGCTAAGGAGCCGATTGGCATGGATTTGGACCACGTGTGACCTCCTTCCCACCACTGACATGTTCCCCTGCAATAAGCATCATTCTGTGAGAACTGAGAGGAGAGGCGAAGAGGCGAGAGGGGTGGAACTTGAAAGAAGATCTGTTTCGAGCACGAATCTTGATGAGATTAATTGAGAAGAAGAAATAAACAATTAGAGGTACATGTTAGAGATCTACATGCGGGGCCACATATCGCATGACAAGTGAGCAAGACGGCTAATTTCTTTTGAAATCAGCCGGCTGGGTAGAAGATTTTTCCTTAATATTTTATATCTTTTTTAGGAAACAACAAGACTCTGCTGCCTATTTTTATTGATTTTTTTAAAAGGTTGCAAAGAAAGTCTTTACAAATTAAATAAAGAATAGAGAAAACAAAAGACTATATAACTAACTCTAGAAAAGAAACAAAACAACAAGTAACAAGATACAAGAAAAAAATACAGCAGTTGAATGTATTCAGGCAAGCTATCTGAACACATTCATATGAAGGCATTAACCCAGTGTTCCAACTGCCCATACTCTAGTGCCTTAATATTTTCTATATCTAAATAGGTGAACCCCACTACTTGATTTTCCTGCCTTCACACGCGTCCACGTCACCACAAATTCGCTCATCCGTTTGATTGACCACGAGTGGCCAGATCTGGAGTTCAGGGTTGGAGGGGTTCACTCGATCCGCTTGTGTCACCTCTCCACCTTCGTCGGCTCCTCACCTCCCACGAACGCACCAACGTTGTCGTCCCGTTTCTGTTCCCCTTCCAATTCTGCTTTTAATTCCCGACCAAGTCGGCCACCTCCGCTCCAGCTTCTTGGTATCCACCCATTCGACATCTCCGCCCTCGGCAATCCACGGCAAACAGTCGGCAGCTAGCACATGTACCTGCGCCCAGCAGCCCATGCGTATCCCTTCAGCCTCCCTCAGATCCGAGAGGGAGATATGAGAAGTATATGGCGTGTGGCGGCTGTGAGGGATCTTCGAAGGCAGGGGACCATGGCGGAGTGTGGCAGCGGAAATTAAGCTAGATGTGATCTGATGAATCCACTAATGTATCAGGTTAGTCCAGAACACCCCCCCCCATCCACCTATTGTGTTACTGGTTTGCCGCCAATCTAGGTAGATAAGATGCCATGTCTCGTGTGTTTTTTGCCATTGTTCATACGTGATACATCCACTATGGAACCATGTACATAAATTAGTTGCAGTCCCTTGCATCTGCGAACTATGAACTCCTATTGGCTCGAGTGAATGCATAGGCCCAAATATGAACATTATTTGATTGATTTGGCACACCCACTAGAAAATCTAATCCTGGCTGGATTGAGTGAAAACATGCAGTTCTTAAGATTCGTGAAGATCTCATTTAGACTTGAGGTACTAATCCTTCTTATTCTCCATGCACCAGTTTCCTCTGTGATACAGCCGTTTATTTATTTCTGTGTTACCTTTAGATGGTTACAACTTTACTGTCCTTTGTTTCAAGGATCGACATAAGCATCTGGTAGATTGGTCAATGATGCCAAGTTCCTTTTTGGATTATTCAGGATCTTTGCTTGCTGGCATTGCACATGGTTGTTTGTTAATGGTAGATACTGCAACATTTCAACCAAGTCTATAGAGGCAAGTAATTTGATTTTCTAGATATATCTACACAGGGAATTATAGTTTGGGCAGTTCATGTATATCAGCATGTATTCCTCTTTTTTCATAGATAGTCATCTTAACGGGTTCAACACACTGGCAAGATTTTCGTCAACCATTTCAGTTTACCATCTGTTGCTTTTTATGGCTGTCACATATTGGCCTCACAACAGTTTGGCACTTCATTGCTGTACAAGATTCCTTCAGTTTGAATTGTGGTCTTTACAACTATCCTGTAAGATTTGGTAAGTATGCTCTCATTAGATATGCTATCCAAATCTGAAATTTGTATGTCCTCGGTAATAACTTATACTTCTCACACCATTTAAATCGTTTGTATCCAGTGATATCTTTGTCAACAATGCTATCACCTGTTATTTTCTTCATATCCAGGAATCAACAACATGGAGACATTCACAAATACATGTTGATGACCACCAAATTTCAGCTTCATCCACACTATTGTAAATCATGACAAGAAATATTCAAGTAACCATATCAGTAGCCAACTGCCCCTCCTCAACTCATATTGCGTTTATTGACTTCTCACATTTTCAGTCCACCATTTTTTGAAAAGTAACATTTTTTAGATTTTTTTTTATGCCTGGAGCAAGTGCAATCGATTCTCCAATCACAAGATACATGTTTCATGTCTTTCAGCTACTCTTACAGTAGCTTACACTGGGGATATGGAGTGTGTGCATCCAGATTTGACAAAATTTCATAATTGAAGGTATAGTTGTTGGTCCAAGTTATGCTTACACACACAAATGGATGTGAATATATTTTCTCCCATTAATAATGATACATATGAGAGTATCTTTTCTTTTGTAGCACGAGAGGACAATGGTTAGTGTGGAACCGGTTAAAGGGGAAACTAGATCAATATGAGACAAAAACATTTTCTTGAATGTTGCCTTGGTAAAATATTCTTTGGGTGTACAGTTGAGTTTCGTCCACATAACCAATCAACTCATATAACCAATAATACGCGTATTATTATTTTTGCATGTTCAGTGTCACTCTATTAGCTGTGAATTTGTTATAGATATGAATGATTTATTTAAGATACTGTGTGAATTTTTTTGTGTTGTCATGGACGCTATTTGTTGAGTGCCAGAGAATACCTTTGTACTAATTGTTTTATTTTTTATAGAAAATTGTATTTTGTTAACTCAAAGTTTCGCACTTAGATAAACAAGGATTTTTTTTGCTTTGCATTAGGTTTACTTGATTTTGTAGCACCTATTTATACATTTACTTATT